CTAACTCCAGTTGACCTCTCATGGAATGTTATTTCCAGATGGCTTAATTAACATCCACATCCACATCCACAACTGATATCATTTAAGCAATATTAAAAAAAAAACAATTACTTTGTTCACCATGTTTCTTTCTCATTGCTTCCATCCAGATTTATTTTCCTTCTTGCTGTAATACATTCTTTAGTAATTGTTTCAAAGTAAATGGACAGTGAACTTTTTGAGATCTTGTATGTTTGAATATGCCCTTAATTTGTGAAAGAAGTTGAATGGCTGAATTTATTCCACTGACTCCAGCAAGGTGTGGGCCCCACCTCTTTTTTTCACCACTCCTACAAAATCCAAACTAACTCTAGGTAACAGGGATTAAAACCTTCATTCCAGTCTTGCAGTCCGTGAATCCTGTCTCATGACTTACACAGCCTAAGTTCCCCCATACCTTCCAAGAATCAGAACAGTGAACATTTCTCAGCATTGTCCTGATAGTAGTTCCACAAAACAGTGGAATCTGACTGACTTTCATCAATCGAACACATACATTCTTTAGGCAGCCTGCTTTCCTGCAGAACAGCCATCTTGAGCGGCTCTCCTGTTGTGATGGTTTTAATAAAGTCTTAAACTAATGGCTATTAATTGATATTTCTTCTTTCAAAAATTCATCCTCATTGTTAAATAATGAGGCTAAATAATATTTTCCTTCAGAACTTTTAGATTTTGTTCCTTGATCTCATGGCGCCCACTGGTGCTGATGAGAAGTCCGTCTTCTACAGGGGTCAGTCCCCTGAGCTGAGTCGGCACCTTCCTCTGCAGCCTCCACATTTTCCTGCCAGGGGCATGGTTTACTGCTGTGGTTTCCCCACATGCTCTCTTTTTTAGGGATCTGTATAATTTCTGGTCCACCAAAAGTCCTTACTCTGTTTTTCACGTATCCTAACATACTTACTAATTTCTTTAAAAAATACATGCATCTTTTAAAAAATGCTTATAATGATTTGGTGTTAAATGGGAAGATTTCAGCAAGTGCTCAAGTTGAAATAAGATTAGTTTTGTCTGTATGAATAGATCAATATGAAATTATATCCCTGGCGAGTAGAATCAGTGTTCAGATGGAGATTTTATTTTTAATTTATTTAAATTTTTAAAATTTATAATTATTAATTTTTTCCCTTTTTAAAAAAATTGAAGTATAGTAGATTTAAAATGTATTAATTTCTGTTGCACAGCATAGTGATTCAGTTCTATATTTATAAATGTATATACATACACATATATTTCTTTCATTACAGGTTACTACAAGCCACTGAATATAGCTCCCTATGCTAAACAGTAGGACCCTATTGTTTATCTATTCTTTACATAGTAGTCTGTATCTGCCAATCCCAAACTCCTAATTTATCCCTCCCTCCCCCACTTCCCTCCCTCCTCCAACCATAAATTTGTTTTTTATGTCTGCAAGTCTTTTTCTGTTTTGTAAATAAGTTCATTTGTACATTTCTCTATTTGAATTTCTGCTTACATATTTCCTTTTGATGCAAAGTAATGGGGTACATGATGTATGGACAGCTTCCTTTTCCACCTTCCAGTGCACCCGCCAGCTTCCTCCACCTGCTCTTGTGTGCTGTCAGTGCAGCTTGGCCATGTGGACGACATCAAGGGCTCCTGGCACTGTTTTCCAGGCGGGTTTGCCCAGTGGGAGGCACCAAGACTAGATCAGACAAGGGGAGGAGACTAAGGTTGGGATATTTACTCAGTGGCTTTCCTATACCTGATAACTCTGGGTTGGTTCGTCCTCCTATAAAGACAATAGCTGCTTTGTGGCCCTTGGCATATAATGACCCTCAGTGCCTCAATCTTGGTCCTTCAGGCCTAGGGTCGCCATGGCACCAAGGATGCCAGCCTGGAGAACCGCATTCCACTACTCGCTCCTCTATATCCTGCCCACACCTTTGTGATTTGTCCCTTTATTCATTTCTCTTCAAATGACTCAGCTTGAGTGTCATTTATTTTTGCTCTAGACCCTGACCACAACAAAAACAAAAGAAAAACCAAAGCGATCAAGTATTCAGGTAATTTGACTATATAGATTGGACTTTGTGCTGTTTTATAATAGAATAAGAATATTTAAGAAAGAATACTGCTGAAGAAAACTCCTTTTAGTTAAAGGAAGTATACCACAGAGGGGAAGCAATAGTAAATATTTCATGAGGACAAACTTAAAGCTGAAGTCTCGCTCCCTTTCCTTCTCAGCTGTTGCTAGGTTTCTGAGCCTGGAGGGAAAGCAGGCAGGAGTGAGGTCTGGCGGATACAGGTCTTTCCAAGGCACTGGGGGATCTTGGTGCAGAGATTTATAGAATCGCAGTGAGGAAAGGGGCCGTGGGGACTACCTAGTGCAGCGATGAACAGCACAAAGCACTGCTTGGTTTGTGAGACAGCCCCGGATTTCATTTGTGTGGTGACTGTTTAGAAACTACCCCCATGCTAGTGCTGCTGCTTCAGTGTGCCTATAAGAAACCATTTTAGTGGCCATAGTATAGTGCTAATTTTCTCACTGGGGATTCGGAGGCTAGCTAATAAGGGCAACAGGTGATATTCAAAGAATGTTTGTGGTGTGCCGGAGATCATAGTCAAAGCTTTATGTGCACCCTGCCCCACAATCCTCACCTAAGCTCCATGTGGATACTGTCCACTGGGTATAGTGGTGTATGACAGTCCAGTTGGAAATGCCCATAACACTCCAGCAGAAACACATCCCTCAGAAACAAATTGGTATTAACATTGGTCCAATTTTACTGATGAGGAAAATACGGCAGAAAGAAGCTAAGGGACTTGCCCGTCATTACACAGCCATTAAACGATGGAGTAGTTTGACTCTGAACCTACGTTCTTCCTCATTACATGATTTCTTCTTGTTATAACATCTATGCAGAAATACACATGTATACAGTACAGAAATACTGCTTTGTGCCTAACAACATACCATCTGTGTTGTTCCCTGTCACTAAACACACTGTAATACCATTTTAAGTGATAGCATAACGTGCAGTTGTATCAATATGCCAGTTTGCTTAATCAATCTTATTGTTAGATATTATTTTCCTCTGCTATTTCTTCCTAATAATTTCTTTCTAATCCTGATTTCTCTCATATTACAATCTCTGGCCCCAACATTTCCTTGAGCTTCGTATCCTCATCTGTAAAATGATGATAGTAATAATAATACTTCCTTCACTGAGTGATTAAATATATATTATGGTAGCTATTATGATGATTAATATATATTATAATCACTTTTATTAAATAGAACATTGACCATTACTGTTAGAGAGTGGGGCCCTAGATAA